ATTTAGAAAATGGGTGGTTAACTGAGAGAATTCACGATGAATTAGGTAACGAAAGTGCTGTAGGAAAAGTGTGTTACCATAACATTACACATCATCATTCTTTCTTTTTTGTTTTTATCTTTTTCTTTTTCTTTCATCTTTTTATCTTTTTCTCTTCAGATCTTGATGCTTTTATTATTATTATTGTTCGAGGATCTTTTTTTTAATTCCTTTCTTCTTCCCTTTGCTTTTACGTTTTTTTTTTTTTTTTTCTTCTTTCTTCAGCCTTTTTTTTTTTGTGTGCGGTGCACGGTAGGCTCAATTATTTATTTATTTGAATCTTGATCTTGTAGTGTTTATTTGTTTGTTTGTGATTTATCTTCGTATAATCGACTGAATTGCATTACTCGGGGATAATGGATGACGGTACACGTATTTCCGAAGAGGTGGAGGTGTTCCTTCGCGCTGCTCGGGCTAAAGACACTGTCAAATGTGCAGAAGCTCTGAAGCAAAAACCTGACCTTATAAATTCCGTTGAGGCTGGTGGTTTCGCAGCGCTTCACTTTGCTGCTTTCAATGGTGATCTCGACATGATTCGCATGTTGTTAGAGTATCACCCAGACTTGGAGCTCAGGAATTATGATGGCAACACACCATTGATTATGGCAGCAAAGGGTCATCAAAATGAGGCCATACGACTTTTGGTGGATGCTGGTGCTGATGTAAACTTCAAAACACCTACAGGAGGAACAGCTGCTCATTTTGCGGCATCAATGGGTTACGTGGACACTGTTCGCCTTTTGGTGGAACTTGGTGCTGATGTTCTTCACTTAAATTGTGAAACAGGAACTGTACTTCATTGGGCTGCTCATTCAGGAGATCCAAATTGTATTGGGGCAATGATTTATGAATTCAAGCTCCCAATTGATGTTAAAGATGTTCATGGTGGAACAGCCCTCTTTACTGCACTTTTTATGAAGAAAGTTGAAGCAGTGGAATTCTTGCTTGAGCATGGTGCAGACCCAGAAGCAGTTATAGAAGGAGATCTTTCTACTCCACTCCATATTGCTGTTGAACATGCGAATACTGAATGTGTAAAGCTTCTTTTAAGCTTTGGGGCTAATCCCAATGTTGTTAATAAAAGTGGTGAGACACCAGTAATGCTGGCAGAGAAGGCTGGAAATAATAGCGCACTCAAGGAGTTGCAAAAACCTGTTCTTACTGAAGAAAAGCGGAAGGAAGAGGCTGCCCGTTTTAAGGCCCAGGGGAACAAAGTTTTTGAAAGTGGTGAGAACGTAAAAGCTGCAAAGTTCTATACTTTGGCAATACATATGGATAACAAAAATCATGTGTACTTCAGTAATCGAGCTGCAGCTTATTTTAATCAACGACATTACATGGGAGCATATTGGGATGCCCAGCGATGCCTCGTCTTGGCCCCTGAATGGCCTAAGGGATACTTCCGTAAGGCTGCTACTGAACTTGCCATGAAGAAGATCGATGAGGCACTTCAAACCTGCGACCAGGGACTGCGTCTTGACCCCAAGAACAAAGATCTTTTAACTACAAAGGAAGAGGCCCGTCGACGAAGGGGAAATTAAGGTACATACACAGTTACCCTTTAATATGTTTTGTTTTTGTTTTGTTTAAGGATGACTCTTTTCTTCCCCCGTGCGGTTAACCTCAGAGTTGAGGGACAAAAATACGAAGAAGAAGAAGAAAAAAAAAAAAAAAAAAAAACACCAACAAGGAACACTGGTTTCCTCTTCTCTAGATGTAGCATTCTTGAATGCTTTGTGAGCCTATTGGGGGACTTAATATGGACTTAAAGAAAATAGATGAACGACGAAAAAAATGAATATTCCAGCGCGTACATAATATATATGTAAACGTTTATGTGTTCATTGATTTATGTACACGTTTTTTCCGTTTTTATTTTTTGTTTCGTCCTTTTTTTTTCGTTGTTACTTCTAAATTTTTCTTGTGATAACTATAAATAAAAATATGTATGTCTATGTATATACATGTGTCTAATGAATTATCCCTTTCTTTTCTACACAACCTTTCAGACTTTTTTTGGATTTTTTTTTGTTGAAGGAATTAGAGATTCGATGAATACCTTTGAAAAAGAGGTGATAATTAGGGCAATGTCGAAGTGTCTGTCGACCACTGATGGACAGGATAAGTTACTTAAGGGTAGTGGTGCATTAATGAAGCTTTTGTTTTGTTTTTGTGGAATAAAATCACTTCTTGATTTTGCTGACTCTGCCTCTGAAGGGCGGTCCCTCCTGCGATTGTTGTCATGGTTATCCAATCTTCAAATTGTATACAATACCCTCCAAAAAGACCCCTCTGGTATAAGAGATGTTATCTATTTAGCTCGTATTATTGGTGATGGTATTTTTAAGATTTGTGATAATGTTGCCTTTCTTGGGATTAAATTTCAAGGATACACGGATGTCTCTCAAGATTTTGCCCGTGCCTCTCGTGCTGGACTTTTCTGGGGATTCTTTGCAGCTGTGATGCTCAGCTTATATGATTTACGGTACGATCGTTATACTGTAAACAATAAAAGGCGTTACATTACACTCGTTCAAAATCTATGCGACTTGCTGACCGCAGCTTCTACTATTCGTTTTGCAGGATTTGAAATGAATCTTTTTTGGCAATCTTTGCTGACTTTGGTTAGTGTTTTATTGAGCTGCGCAGACTGTTTTCGTGCGGCCACCATTAAAGCCAAAACATCATAATTGGTAATGATGTGATAGGAGAGTTATTTCTTCTTGTATATATTGCATGTGATATATTTTATTTATTTTTATTTTTATTTTTATTTCCTTATGATGCGATAATGGCGTCTTTATATATAGTTAAACAGAATATGAATATAGGAGAGTAGGCAGGGATGAAATGATAATCCTTTAGTGGTATTCACTTTACAATGACACCAGCCTCTTGCAGTACTTTTTATTCAAGTAGTTAAATATGTATATAAATATATGTACTAATATCGATGTACGTACTTTTTTTTTTTTTTTTTTACCCTATGTTTTATTTTTTCTCTTTATTTTTTCTTTTTATTTTTGCATTATTATTTTCACCTGTGGTGTAGGACTTCCAGGTGTGTGTATTCAAAGTGATGACAACCATCTACCAAGCTGTTGAAACCTCTACGCTGAAGGACCGTTGCCGTATCGACCTGCTGGACGGCGCAGCGCAGCTTCAACGCCACAGTGAGACACTGCCAAAGAGGGAATTAACAGTGGCAGCGGCTGATCTCCCGCAATGCACATTCGAAACAACAATCTCACGGGCAACAAAGACACACTACAGTCAGGATGAATCTGCGATGCAGCGTTTTCTCACGGAGAAGGAGGCAAACCAGGAAAGAACTATGCAGGCCTCAAGCTCTACGTACTTCAAGAAATACAATACTGTCTTCAGAGGTGCACTGCCACGCTCGGAGCCATTTCGTGAGACCCGTGACCGCAATGAACTGACAGGACGAGAAAAAGATTTTGTTCATCGATACGCGGAGGCCGCAGTGAAAAAACCACTTGAACGTGAACAAGTTGATGACACACCGACGAAGACTGCAAGAGAAGCATATAAGAAAGCCTTTCGTGAGTACAAAGGACGAGACCCTACTGAGAAGGAGTTGGAAGAAGTGGGAAGACTTTGGTTTGCGTACACAGAAGATGGTACTGTTGGTGTCGTACAAAAACCTCATTTCCACGGTCCGCATTCACATGTATCTATTTGTAACCGACGGTATGCACAGTGTGTCAATCAGGTCTACAAAAATGAACTTCCACCTGTTCGTGCCGCACGCAGCCGTTTTCCTGGTCCTATTCCTGTATGGTCATCAACTCAGAATACGTATACGATGGTTGCAGGAGATACATACGTACCAGGACTACATAATGTCAGCAAATTCGGATCAGTTTCTTTTTAGATAATTTATTGCTTTTCAACTATATGCTTTATTGCATACTACATTCACTCTTTTATATAAGTTTTGATGTTCCTATATTTCTCTTTGAGTAATGATATGTATTCTCTCTTTCTGTTTTTGTTTATATATATATATATATATCTGGATTTATCTCTATCTTTGAATGGATGTTTCTGTGTCGAATTTGTCACCCCATTAAAGGAAATATTAGGCCCTATAACTTTTTTTTTTTGAAATTTTATTTCTTACACTCTCTTTTTATTTTTCTTTTTATTTTCTAATATGAAGAAAAATATCATTAGTGACTGAAAAATATCGTGAAAAATGGTAGAGAGGACAGCAGATCAGCGTATACGCACGACAGAGTGGGAGGATATTCAATATAAACACGGCAATCGCGTAGGAAAGTACGCCACTAATGAACTCGGTATTCTTGCGCAAAAGATTGCTGATGAGAATGTGAACACATGTTTAAAAGCATACGATCCCCACGAAGAGCGCGTGCGTGACAAAATGGAACGAGGGGGTTATGATACAGAGCAGAAGGAAGGAGAGTCTGGTGTAGATCACCTTTTGACAGGAGAAGGTAGTGATGATGATGATGATGAGGCTCTAGCGGCATTTCGTAGGAAGCGTTTAGCAGAACTACAGCGACAACAGGAGGCACAACGATTTGGTGTTCTTCGTCATATCTCAAGTGGAGATTACACGACTGAAGTTACAGAAGCCTCTGCAAATAACTGGGTTGTAGCTCTTCTCATCAAACCTGGTAATAATGATTGTGAAAAACTTCTTTCTGTCATGAAAGTAGCGGCACAGCGGCATCGTGATGTAAAGTTTCTCTCTATGATTTCAACCGAAACCATAAAGAACTTTCCCGACCGACATCTTCCCTGTGTCTTATTGTACAAAAATAAACAACTCCAGCAACAACTCACTGAGCTAAGAAGCTGGACTTCGAAACGTAATGAACTATCGTTAGAGTCTGTAGAACGAGTCTTACACCACTACGGTGTAATTCACAAGGAGGAGTTTGATGTAGAGGAGGAAGAGGATTGAAAGATGTTTTTTTTTTTTTTTTTTGTTTTGCGCTCGTGTGTGTGAGTTTCATGTTTTCCTTCTCTTTTTTTTTCTATATCTTCTCTTTTGCTTCTGTGGGAAGAAGGTTGGATACTTCGGTATTATTGCGGCTAGACAATTTGTACTTATTTTATTAACCCATACTATCCTTCCTTTTTCTTTTTTTTTTTCTTTCTCTATTTTTTTTTTTTTATGTTTTTATTTTTATTGATAGTAATTATGTCTGTTGATGGAGTCATCATAACAGACATGCGCCGTGTTCTTTCAGATTCGGGATTGTCGCCCTTTTTTTTTCTTTTATGTGGACCAAATGGGTCGGGAAAGTCTACTACTATGCGTGCAGTGCTTGAAGGTGCTGCAGCACATGGTATGAGTATTATAGATGGTATGCCAAGTATAGATGAAACGAATACAGAAACAACAACATGGTGTGTTGAAAAAGCGCGATTGTTTGTTATTAATTATAATCTTTTGAGATCTCATGATATATGTGAAAATTCAATGAATTTAGTCTATCCTCAGGGGACAGTTGTATTTCTGGATGATATCCATGCTATTGATTATCTTCTTCGTGTTCATGCATTATCGCATCGTCTTGAATTGATGGTGCGTCGTTTGCTTAGATCACCACGCTGTCTGTTGGTAACATCATCGACTGATATGTATCATGTGCCAGAGTGGCTTTTAGCGATTCGAAGTCCTATAACGTACCAATTACGAGAACTTTCTTCAGGAGCTGCACGCCGATATCTTCGTTCTCTCCCAGATGGGGATATCTTTATGAAGTGTGCTAGTGCTAATGCTAATGAGAAGAGTACTGAATTGGCGTCAGGTTTTCGAACACATAGAGCCTTCATACTATCTCTATGTCATGCTAGGTTCACACATTTTGCGTCTAAGCCGACTGATACTGCAGCTTTATTGAATGCTGTCGGTCAGTCATCATTAGCACATCAGGTATTATCTAGTAGCGATAAACTTTATGGTCTTGATGCAGTCTCAGAGCGGATACATACATTTGTTCAGCTTTTTATAGGTCGAGATGATCAGGCAGGTTTTGGTCGTCTTGCTTCTTTAGCGTCTACAACTGGTATTTTGTTGCATGGTCCTTCAGGCTGTGGCAAGACAGCTTTAGTGATGAGGCTTGCGGAGTTATACTCTGATAGATTTTTTTTTGTTAACTGTGCTACATTGTTCTCCAAGTACCTCGGTGAGAGTGAACAGCGTCTGCGTGATGTGTTTATGCAAGCCAGACGCCGCACGCCATCTGTTCTTGTTCTAGATGATGTTGATATTATTGGTACCTCCCGTGGTTCTCTCTCCGATGGTGGTAGTGGTTCAGGCTTGGATGTAACAAAGCGAATGCTTGCGGCGCTTCTATGTGAACTAGACGGCCTTCTAGATAACACACGCATTCTCGTCATCGCTACTACCAGTTCACCTAATACACTTGATACAGCTCTACTGCGACAGGGACGTTTTGAGACAGTTCTATATGTGCCACTTTTAAGTTTTGAGGCAGGACGAGAAATGTCGCTTGACTTTTTTACGTCTTTTGATGATGCTACAAACTCTACAGCGGATAAATTGAGTCTACTTGTTGCAGCATATGCGGAGGGGTGTACAGCGGCATCGTTGAAGTTATTTCTTCGAGAGTTGTTAGAACACCAACTTGAATCTGCAGAGGAGGGAAAAAATGAAAACAGCGGAATGACAATAACAATTCGTATGCCAACGGAGGATCTTGTATGTGCCGCTCTTATGGGGAACACCGTATTAAAACGTATAAAGTATGAGTTTTGCACCTTGTAAATAATAAAAAAAAAGAAGAAAAGAGAGAATTTCAATCCCCCTTTTTTTTTTAATTTTCTTATCTCTATTTTATTTTATTTTTTGATATTTTTTTTTTTTTTTTGCTTCTCTTGTCATTATGTGATCCCTTGTGTAGTTGTACTATAGAGCTTCTTTTTTTTTTTCTCTTTCTCTTCTGTTATCAGTGTTTGGTGGTCTATGGAATACAAGTCCCCCTTTGAGCTTCGATTGCAACTGTTGGATTCTAGCAGCCCCTCATCCGCGAAGGGACGACAACGAAGAAGGAGCAGTCCGTCTGGTGTTGTGGGCCAGGCGCCCGCCACCAACTCTGTTCAGAATGATACGTTGGTGGAGGGTGATCCTGACGACCCCACTGCTCTGGTCCGTGAACTGCCGGCCTTGGATAAACTCAATGCACTTAACGCCTCACTGAAAAATGAAGAGGCAGTGCAAAATTATGTGGAGGCAAAAAACCTTTCTGTTGAAGAAGCTGCAAAATATATTATGGAAAATGGAAGCACAGGTCAGAAGATGTCTTTGTTTCAGCGCCTAGGTGAAACTCTAATTGGCTTGGACATGGCAAGTATATCTCAAGTTTTAATGATTGTCGTGGATTTTATGTGGGTTCAAGATCCAGAGTTACAGTGTTTCGCACCAGGAGCTTTGCTTGAGGTGCTTCCATTGCTGAATAATACAGTTGCAAGAGAACTAATGATGGTGACGAGTACAATGCTAAGCGTCAAAACAGCAGAGGTTCGTATAGCATGGAATAAACTTTTCCTTTCTTTTGTTGACTATCTTAGCATCAAACATCTTGAAAACGACGTGGTGCCTTTGGCACTTAAAAAAACAGAACATGTGGAACCGCAGGATCAGCGTGAACTTAGTTGTGATCTCATCGGTGCCGTTTCTTCTCACTTACCACGTGATATTGTGGAACGAAGATTATTAAGCAAAGTTTTGGCATTATGTCAAGATACCAATGTAGGAGTTAGATGTCACATGTGCCAGCAATTAGGCATTGTTGCTCGTTCACTGGGTGTAGATAAAGCAAAGGAAAAAATTGCCCCAGAATTATTTGAGCTACTTAATGATGAAGATCAAACTGTTTCTCGTGCAGCTTTTTCTTGTTTAGTTGATTTAGTGGAATTTTTTGGTCCTGCGTACCGTCGAGAACATTTGTATCCTATTATCAAAACCTTTATATCTAATCCACCAGAGGAAGTGGTAAGCCTTATTGTAGGCGAATTTGGACGATTTCTTTGGGAGATTAAAGGGGATATTCAAACCAACGAAGATGTTATGTTATTCGCAAATTTTTATCAAAATGCCGCTTTAAAAGGCGATGATGCAACCCGTCTTAGGTGTGCTTACAATTTGCCTTCTGTTACTGCGTCTTTACCTATTTCAGTATTTCCCACATATTTAGCTCCCTGCTGTGAGGCACTTGCTACTGATCCTTCTGAACCTGTACGAAGAAGTATAGCTGCTGGTCTGCATGAATTAGTTTCTCTTCTTGGTGATAAAGCAGCAGTACATCTTCGTAAACCTTTTTTAGATTTATTGGGAGATTCTAAAAAGAGTGTTCTAAATGCACTTTCTGTTAATACATCTACTTTACTTGATTGTTTTGTACGACAACTCAAATTAGTTGATCGTGTGGCGTTCTTCTCTAGTATGGAAGATGTATTACTTCGACTTGTTGTGCGTGCTGAACGAGACTGGCGAATTATGGACTACGTACTGAATATTCTTTTATCATATTATAAAGAAATGCAAGAATCTACTTTGTATGATAAATTCTTGCCTATTCTTCTTAAGTATGAGCGGTACGGAGCATTTTGTCTCAAAAATCGCTGCGCCGAAATGTGCGTTAAAATCGGTGCGAGCTTGTCAAATGTAAACAATAAGGTACAGTTTTTTAGCAAGCTAAACAATGAGTATGCTCATAGCCCTTCTTGTCTTGTTCGTCAAGGATATTTACGTTATGTGAGGGCTGCATGTGAGTTATTTTCACGACGATTCATCCGTGAAAGGATGCTTGAATGTTGTTTTGAGCTACAACATGACCAGATGGAGTTAGTACGATTAGAACTAGCGCGTTTACTTCCATCATTGCGCAAAGTGCTTGAACCTATTGCCCCAGGTAGTGTACTTGAGGAGTATCAAGATATGGTACACCGGTTACAAATGGATGAAAGTAGTGAAGTACGAGCTGTAGCACAAGAGAGTCTGGATATAATAGAACGGCGAGATCGCGAACTGAAACGTGATGCCGGTAAAGCTAAACTTGAGGAGGATAACAGGGAAGACAGACGCCGTGAACAGGCGGAGGGACAATTGTTAGATGTTGCTAAGGAATTTGATAAGGCAGAGCGACGCTCAAAACTTCGTGACTTATTGAAAACGGAACGGGAAAAAGAACAGGCAGAGTCGGTGCGCAAAGCTGTTGTTGGCCGACGTACTCTGAAGGGTCCAACACAGCACGTTACACGTTCTATACCCAAAGCACATTCACCGACTATTAGTAACGTGACTCGCCAAAAGAGATTACAGTAGTGTAGATGGACAAAATGGAAAGGGTGGAAGGAAAAACAAAAAAAAAAAAAGAAAAAAAAGATAAAAGTTGAAAAGCTGTAGACATCCACTTGACGTGTAACGTAATAAGGTGACACTATGAGAATAGTTGTAAAATTTCACGTCCTCCATTTTTTTCTTTTTTTTTTTGTTTGTATTTGCTGTCAATGATTTCTTTCACAAAGTGAAAAATGACTTTATGGAAACGTACCCCTTTCTGATGTATCTGTATGTCCCCTAGAAGCTATATCAAGTTCAATCAAGTTTGTTTTCTTCACACCTGCTTCTGACAAACTCTCGTCCCACATCTGTCACCTGCTGAAGCTGCGCTGAAAAGAAACCAAGGAAGAGAAGGACAAAAAAAAAAAAAAAA